ATCCCTTGCGGTTCGCCTTTGTGGTTCGCGTACTCCGGAATATCCTCTTTTCTAGTGGTTTTCGCTGGTATTATGTCGGGGCTTACCCTCGGCCTTATGTCGATGGGCCGTGTCGAACTCGAGATCCTCCAGCGCAGCGGCACAGCAACCGATAAACAGCGGGCAGGTGCGTTAACGAAGTAAGGTCAATCTAGAAGGTTTCGCCGATAGCTATGCTTAATGGCTTGTCTTTTGATGTGCTAAGTATGGATGGATGGTTTTACCATCTGAATTTGTTTCACCGGACAAAATCCCCATTTTTAAATCATACAACTGTAGCCACTTATATAAATGGTTTCTGTCCTACAAAATTCCCATGATTTGATAAATCTAATGTCAAGTCATTCTAGATTCATAATTTATTTTAGCAATCTCATATTAGTTATTTATTGTGCTTTATCTCAATTCTTAGATTTAAAATGTGTATATAGGCGTACTTAATAACTTTTAAGACTCCATTTATTAAATATACCTTGAGTGAGATTCATTTTGTTCAAAGGATGTTGTGAATGATCTGATGGTTGATTGCATATTAGCCTACCATAAGATAATTTGCAATGGCCTCAAATTGTTGGAGTGCAAGAAAACATGGATTGATAAATATTTAATGAAATAAAATAATCAAAATCTTTATATTGAGTCCTAATATTCAATTTTATTAAGTTTTCATCTCTCACCTCCGCTTTGGTGTTTAGGTGTGGTTTTTCGCTTTCCTTCTACAAACCTATCTTCTTTTTCTATCTAGGATGAGCCCAACATATGCTAAAGGTGAGACCAAGTTTTTGGGCATTAGTGAATGCATTCTACAATAAATAAAATTTGATTGCCACAAATTTCTAATTTCTCTCTCCATGTGCTAGAATTGCAAACTATATTTTTTTCTCGATGATTGTGATTGTACTAGAAGAAATACTTTTTTGAAGGGTGACAAAAATTGAATATCGTTGAGTCTTAGAATCAATATAAAAAAATTTAGTTTTATAAGTGCAGTGACAAAGTTATAGCTATATCTTTTGCATGGAATGCTAGAAGTTGTTAATCTCTCTTGATAAACTATTTTTGCAAACTATATTTTCCACAATTGTGGTAAATGTTCTACAAGAAGTACATTTTTTATGAGTGAGAAAAGTTGAATACTAACAAGGCTTATAATCACTATAAAAAAGATGGGAGGTAGTGCAAAGAGTGTAGTGAATAAAATTAGAGTTATAGTTTTTTTTATGATTTGTATATTATGCTCGCAACTAAGGAAGAATAAAAGAAGATAAATTAATAAGTAAAGCTAGAAGAATCAGTTATCCATAACTGTCATAAGATCAAGTATCTCAGATATATTGTATATAGTAACGAAGATTTAGATGTGAACATAATTTTGGCGTTAATATTGGATGATTAAAATAGAAAAATAACTTAATATTATTGTGTGATAAGATGATATCATGGAGATTTAAAAAAAAATTTAATAAAATTGTTATTAGATTAATGTTTTGTTGATCTGAGTGTTGGGTAGTAATTTTTTCTGCATTTAAAGCACCCAAATCAATATATCATACCCATTAATGTTTCAACTTCACATTCATCTAGAACCTAGTGACAGCCATAATAAAACATTCAATGTTAGGATTCACGATAAATGTTGCAACTCCTAGCTTTAATTTTAATTGTAAGCTAAGGGATTATAACTATAATATGGATTTGCTGGCTAGCATTTTTTTTTTACTGAATAGTACTCTCTGATCTTATGATTTAAGAGTTGCTAGTAATGTTACTTGCTTAAAACTAGCTGAGCCATGATGCAGTTCTTTTTTTCTTGTGCTAGTTGGTCTTACATTTATTAAATTGATCTATTGTTGCAGCTACCATTCTCCCTGTTGTTAAAAAGCGACATCAACTTCTGGTGACTCTGCTATTGTGTAATGCTGCTGCCATGGAGGTATGCATCTAAATGTCCTTGACTTGGCGGAACTATTTATTAAGTTGGTGAATAATTATATACTTGAGATTTTTTTTTTAACTTGTGTGTGATACTTTTAGGTTGTTCTCATTATGTTTATAGAAATGTATTTTGTTAGGCATGTAGTCAGAGATTGCTCTCATTGCACTGCAGGAAGGAATATATTTTTTATGCAATAATTTATATTTAG